GGCACGTACTGAATGGAGCACTGGGTGTTATACGCAAACAATGAATCATGGAACACTACATCAAAAACTAATGATGTACTGTATGGTGACTAACATAACATAATAAAATTTAAAAAAAAAGTAAAGCACAGTGTTAAGACAAGGTGGGAGAAGACTTTTATTTTTAAAAAAGGAGGGAGAAGGGAGGGACAGCTGATGATCACAAGTTATTTCTAACTCTGTGACTCTAATGAGTACTAATACAGCTTCATTAATATATCTGCTTTGAAGACATCAATTTTAAATATCAGAAATTCAGGGTGATGGAGAATTACTGAATTGCTTTGAAATACTATTTATTGTTTCAACTAAATGGCAAAGTAATTCCTTAGAAACTCAAAATCATATATGATTAACTTAGGTAGTAACTAAAAGGAATAATTCGTTATTGTTTATTCAGATGAATTAAATGACCCATTAGTCAGATACTGTAGGACACAGAAGAAATTCCTTCTAATCAATATTTCTACATTAAAATATTCCAATACAAAAGGCTGAACGTCGATGGTAGTTTCTAGAGCAAAGGTAGCACAATAAAGCATAGGTGGGGAAAGGAGAGGCTCAAGTGGTTTTTTAAATGAAACCAAAGTGCAAAGACAAGTCCACAAGGGAACAAACAGATCAGCCAACTCTTGGGAAGTTACAGGCAAAGAGAAGGATTTAATACCATTAGACAAGACTGCTTGGAAAGTGTGGGTTACCCCACTGCAGAAGAGGACCACCAAGGAAAACAGGGAAAGGCAGGTTGTAAGAAACAGAAAATGTCTGTTCACTGGCCAGCCGTCTGCTTTCACAAGTGGACTGAAAAATGCCTACGTTGAGATGCAGCCTACCCAGCAGCCTACCCAGCAGGAAGCCAACAGCAGGTCCGTGCACTCAGCTCCTGTGTGCCTCCCTGGACGCAGCCTGTTCCCAACACCGGGGACATGAAGAACCCACTGGAAAAACTCCAAACTTCCCCTCAAGTACGTAGGAAACATTTAAGTGTCACTTTATGTTTGATCTGTTCCCCCACTTTTTAAAGATGGGGATCAGACTAAAGAGGAATGAAATATGTATAATGTCATAATTACAAAAATTTTACTGTTTATGTAAAAGTCTGGGAAATAATTCAGACAAATTAATACAAGTAACTGGTTATGGTGGGTTTTTTTTTAATTGAATAAATTTTAAATGGGAGTTTTACATTTACCTTTTTGGTAAAGTTTGGAAGGAAAGAAAGAAGCAGAAGAAGGGTAAGGAAATAAAGAAACCAAAATATAAACTGATAAGTCAACAGTCTTAACAACCTACAAATATTAAAGACTAGAGTTGGAATGGAAACACCAACGCCAGTTCATTGGATACATAAGGTGTATGTCACATGCATGTGAGAAACATTAATAAATAAACACGCATATGTACGGTGCCCAAACTATCAGTTCCTGAACTAGCACTCATTCATTCAACTTCCTCTCCCACTCCACTCCAGCTACCCTGGCCTCCCCGCTCAGTGAATGCCGAGCGCATGCTCTCCTCAGGGCTCCTCACTCACTGATGCCCCGACCTGAAACAGGAGTCATTCCGATCTTCATGTTGCTTGCTCCTTCTATCTTTCATAGCTTTACTAAAATACTTCCTCAAAGGGGCCTTCTGACCACTGTCTCAAAAAGTCCCATCATTTTGGGGCACCTGGGTGGCTCAGTCGTTAAGTATCTGCCTTCAGCTCAGGTCATGATCCCAGAGTCCTGGGATCAAGCCCCCACATCGGGCTCTGCACTCAGTGTGGCATCTGCTTGAGATTCTCTTCTCCCTCTGCCCCTTCCCCCACACTGTCTAAAATAAGTAAATA